TTTTTTATTATTATTAATTTTTTATTTTTATGAGGTGATCATCCAGAGGTGGGTAAGAAAATGGTGGCTCTGTACATGCTTTGATTGGAAGCCTTCCCGTGTCACCTGGCTGACTCAGGAGCCACCTTTCCCTCCCCCTGCTGTAGGGGACTGTTTCGTGATACAGATTCAGAAGTTTCACAGAATCACAGAATGGTGGGGATTGGAAGGGACCTCGAAAGATCATCCAGTCCAATCCCCCTGCCAGAGCAGGAACCTAAATGAGATCACACAGGAAGGTGTCCAGGTGGGTTTTGAATGTCTCCAGAGAAGGAGACTCCACACCCTCCCTGGGCAGCCTGTCCCAGGGCTCTGGCACCCTCACTGTAAACAACTTTCTTCTGAAGTTTAAGTGGAACCTCCTGTGTTCCAGCTCACACCCATTGCCCCTTGTCCTACCACTGGGCATCACTGAGAAGAGCCTGGCTCCATCCTCCTGACATTCACCCTTAACGTATTTATAAACATTAATGAGGTCACAATGAGGTTTCATACCAAATCACTGCAGAAACAATCCTTTGTTTTTTCTACTTCTGTACTGTATTCTGAGTGGTCCTTTCAACTAAGTATTTAAAAAAATGTATTTGTAAGTCATAATAATGATTGAAAGACAATGGAGACTAATAAGAAGATGGCATCTTCTTTTTACAGGTCCAAGAAATTGCCAAGCAAAATGTGGCTCATACATTTTCAATAGCAGGAAAAAAGAGATCTCTGGAACTACAAGCCAGGTATGGTGCTTGTTCTGTCTTTCAAGGTTTGTGAATATTTGTGTAGAAATTCATGATCTAGGTGATATGACTGTGCTACTATGACATAGCTTTAAACCAGGAGATGAGCATCAGAGAGGCATAATTAAAACATGCAAGAGAATATGTTGACCCTAAGTCAGAGTGTGTTCAAGTGCTCTGTTGATTTGCTTTACTGAATGCTTACAGTGTTTGTAATAGTGCTTGTAGGTTCCACTGTATTAATAATTCAAACATTTTTGACATTTGTTTGACAATAATTGAGGTCAGTGATTATTAACAGTGTTTATGAAACAGTGGATAGCAAAGCTACAATCTTGGTGGATATAAAGCTGTGAAGATGTGAATCGAATTTACTGAAAATATTGGAAGTACAATTACGTTTTCTGTATTTTTTCTTTTGTTTTAACAGGACAGAAGAGGAGAAGAGGGAATGGATTCAGGTTAATACAAAATCATTATGATATGGGTGGAAATCACCGCGCAGTCAGCATCTTCCAATTTTGAAATGGTCTTTTGAGGGTTCAGAATGAATGTGGCTGCTCGAGGAAGCTGGGTAGTCCAGGCTGGCAAAGCTGCTTATGGAGAAATGTGGAGCCCCAGTCAGGGTCCCAGTGCTGACCCACTGTCTCCAAGCAGTGCACGGGGGCTTTGGGTGGGCTTCCATCTCCTGCAGCCCTCAAGCCCTGGCAGAGAAGAGACTGAGGAGTCCAAGACTGGCCTTGTGTGTTCTATCAGGCTGACTTCTAGAGACACTGTCTGGTAGCAGTCTCTACTAAATTTTAACTTAAGCAGTAGTGAGTTAACACCACCAGTCGTATTTAGTAAGGTTTTTAAGTTTCCATTTAATTTAGGTAAGTGTAAGGGTTTTTCAGTAAGATGATAATCCTAACCATTTTCCTATCAGAGAATTTTTCTGAGGCTCCTTTTGTGACACTTCTTATCTTTGCTGGAATTCTTGTCTCAGGTCATTCAAGCAACAATTGAGAAGCACAAACAGAACAGTGAGACATTTAGAGCTTTCAATAGCTCTTTTTCTCAAGAGGAAGAGCATCTTCCTGATTCCTCAGTAAGTATGAGTGCTTAATTCTCCTTTGCTGTAACAGTTTTACCATCAGTTAAATTAGACTTACACCACTAACTTTAGAATAGTGTATACTTGTTTTTGATTTTTATATTATATTACAGTACAGTCAGGTCCAGTTCTCTGGTTCTCACATGCATATCATAGTTACTCAACCATGCAGGTATGGAATAAATTACCCAGGGTAATTCAGTGTGAGAGACCTATCAGTCATGTTTTCCAGACTCATTTAGCCTGACAGGTGTAATTCTTCAGTGTTACGTGTGGTTGGCTGTCTCGAATGATGTTTGTGTGCCTGGGAAATTTTGTTCATTACCTTTCCCCATCTCCCGAGAGATGCATTTGGGGATTATCTTTTATCTTATTTTATTATTATTTTTAAAGTTTTACAGAGTTGAAAGGAAATTGATGCATTTTAAAAGGATCTTAAAAATATCGTCTTATGGATAGCAAATATAGTTCAGAAAGAATACTTTTCAACTAAAATATGCAAAATAGTCTTGAAAGTTTATTCTGTTTCTGTACAACTTCTGTATTACTCTGTATTGTGATTGCTAGGAATTTTGGTTTGGAAGTGTTCATATGAGGGTGATAATGATATCTTTTCATTTGACTTGAAAATGTAGGTAATAACTTTAGCCACAGTCGTTTGGCACAAGCTGAACAGGGGAGGGCTTGAGAGAGGGAAATTTTCAGGAATTCCGTGCCGAGCTGCCTGTGTGTTGGTGATGTTGGCGGTCAAACATGGTAGATCTTGGCGCACAGGAAGAGAAGGTCCATCTGCAGAGGCTAAACTTGGGGATCTTTTTATCTTCCCCCTGCCCTCCTAAACTTTTTTTTTTTGGTACCTAACCATTTTTGAAACCTCCTCTTTGTCAGATCTGATTTGGTGACTGCATAGTGCAAGATTTTTATCAGACTGATTTCCCAGGGGGCTCAGCAGAATATGGCCTAGCTTACTGATCATGAACTATTCATCAGCTAAAAATACTTGGAAAAAATTGGAAAACAATCAACTTGTGCCAATATTTTTAAGTTAGCTCATCGCTGCCTACAGAACCAGGATGCTCTGGTGGAAAAAAATCGTTTGCTAATATGCAAACTAATAAGCACGCTTCTTTCTGTCTAATTAAGACAGAGTGTCTGTTCAACTTCATTATTATTATTGTCTTGCTTTGTAAATTCCATTTTATTTTGCTCTGTATTAATGGTGTAGCCACATGTTTATACTCTGCTGGTTCATAAAAGTCAAGCAGAGCAGAAGTCTGGTTTATCTCCTGGCTGTGATATTAATGCAGTATGCATTTTAATTGCTTCTATGCCGGAATGCTAACCTGCATTTTTTTTTTAGGAGATTAGTTTTTCTAGATAATCAGCTTTGAAAATGGATGTCACAGCTACATGTGACAGAAATTGCCGTCAGTTAAAAAGAGCTGAAGGTAGTTCTGTAAGGAAAACTGGACAAAAACTGAGAGCATTCTTAGTAGCAACAGGCTGCTGTAGGCAGCATCCACCATACATCTCTCATCATCTTTACGGAATATTGGGCAGCGTGTTTTAGAGGAAAAAATGACAATAATCTTCCTTCTTTGCTTTCATGAGTCAAGAAACAGATATGCACTCGTGGATTCCAGGCTGGATCTGTAACAGCTACTAGAAATTGGACTCTGGTTCTAATAAGCCTGTAGAAAAATAGCCAAGTTGCTTTTCTCCCATGCTTGGCCGTACATTCGATACATTACAGTGCTTATGATTTATTTCCGTTGCATGACCAGTGCGTGCCTTTGCAGGCAATTCTCACCATGCTTTTGTTTTCCCTGCTGACTTACATAAACACACAAGCATTAGGGGTTGATCTTCAGCCTGTAGTTTGCCTACAGAAGACTTGTGGTTTCTTGTAGGTACAGAGATCTGATGTTTGACTTGATTCTTAAGATGATGCCTGTGCAGTAATCTACAGCAATTAGTAAACTCCCACATGTCAGGAGGTGAATATTCAGAGCCGTTGCCAGTCAGTCTCTGCAGGGTGGCTGTGGCAGTGGCCTTTTAAATAAGTCTTTTCAGAAAGCTTCAGGGTCCCTTTGTGGCTTCATTCTTTTAGAAAGAGGATGCTCGTTTCCCTATTTGCCATTTTCATCTGCAGCATTTCAAGGCTATTGTGGTGGGTTGACCCTGGCTAGAGGCCAGATGCCCACCAAAGCCCGCTCTATCACTCCCCCTCCTCAATTGGGCAGGGGAGAAGATAAGATGGAACACAAGAGAAAAAAACTCGTGGGTTGAGACAAAGGCAGTTTAATAGAAGCAAAGCAAAGCTGCGCGCGCAGAAGCAAAAGAACAAAATATTTATTCTCTACTTCCCATCAGCAGGCGATGTTTGGCCACTTCCCGGGAAGCAGGGTATGCATACGCGTTGCGGTTCCTGGAGGACAAACGGAAGTAACGAATGCCCTCCCCTCCCACTCCTTTTCCCTTGCTTTTATTTCTGAGCATACGTCATATGGTATGGAATATCCCTTTGGTCCGTTTGGGTCAGCTGTCCTGGCTGTGTCCCCTCCCAAGACCTTCCCCACCTCCAGCCTACTGGGGGAAATGTTGGAGGGACAGCCTTGGTGCTGTGCTAGCACTGCTCACCAGTAACCAAAACACTGGGGTGTTATCAACACCCCTCGAGCCACCAATATAAAACACAGCACTCTGAGGGCTGCCGTGGGGAAAATAAACTCCAGCCCAGCCAGACCCAATACAGCTATATGAAGGGTTTTTTCAATCCATCTAAAAATGTTCCCAAGGAAAGGGACCTCTTGTACCACTGTTTGATCGCAGAGGAGTTGGAGGCTTGTGGTGTGGGGGAAGGACTCGGTTTGTGCAATACTAGAAGGCTGGCAAGGAAACCTGCCACAGAGAGCTGAGCCCTGTGGGAGTGTCATCCCTACGATTTGAGAGTTGGGGAGAGGGCTTCTATTAGTTAAATATTATTTTTAGATCTTGTTAAATTGTTGTTATTTCCCACCCTGGTTTCTCATCCTGCCCCTAGCTCTGGGGTAGGTCTGACAGCCCTGTGAATAACTGTCTTCCTCCATCCCAAATCTTCCACAGTTTTAGTGGTAATGGTAATATAATGGGGAGAAGCCCTTTTGAGATATTTTCCAGGTTAGCAGTAGAGGGTATTTGATTATTAGTACATTTTTCCAAAAAAATATTAAAAGGACATGGGGATTTGAATAGGCAATGAGAGAAATTTACTTTTTTGTAAACTTGCTGGGGGTTTTCTCGCTCTCTCCTTCAGACCCCGTTTTCTCTCCACGTTTTAATCCTCCTTTCCCAAGCCCCATGGCGCAGCACACAGATGTTCTTTTATTAGGCAGAGGGTTGATGAGGATTCCAGTGGAAAGAAACCCCTTTCCACCGGACTGGGGAATAGATGATGTGAAGACCTTAGGGTTGCTGGGGTTTTGCAGAGGCAGCAATAGTTGGCTGGGGTTGAGTACATGATGCTTCGCTTTAAGTAAGTTGCATTCCCTGAGGAAGCACTCTGGGGGTGGCCCAGCCCTAGCCCCAGGGGATGCCTTTGCTGGTTCTCAAGGGTAGAGTGATTGTGTTGGTATATAAATAGCTACAACGAGGTATCAGAATGAATAGCTCTGCAATTTGGCCAATTACTCAAAGCTACAGTTCAGGTTGTTTCTAATAACAGAGATTAAACCCTTTTGCTTTCAAATGGAATGAAGCTAGAGTGCAGAAATGCACTGGAGATTTGGGTAACCTCGAAATACCAATTTTGTCTCATTGGCAAAAGAAGAATGATCTATGGGAGTAACAGGAGAATTTATCATAAGGAATCTCATATTTTGAGAACCCCTTGTAAACTAGCAAACTCCCTGTAAATTAATGACAGATGAGATGGTTTTCCTTTTAGGATATAGCCTATGATTTTGGTGTCATTACCTTGTTATTTGTCCTCTATATGTATTAAACACATCTATATGCCAGTTTGCATTTATTAAGAGATGTATCGCAATTAGGAAAAACTTAACTGAGTACTATTTCAATGGAGTAAATATTCTTCCTCCTCAGAATCCACTGACTACACAAAGCAGTTGCTTGTGTGGCTGGCAGGGCTCAGATGGAGCGGTGTAATTCACCTCTCCCCTTGGCTTCCTGCAGTGCTACTGTTAAGCCACCCACTTCCCAGTCAGCCCAGTGTTGGAGGGTGGCTGAGTACAGGTGCAGTTTGGGTGTGTTCACAAGCAAATCGTTGAGGGACTAAAAGCAAATGATGGTTTTATTTTTTATCCTTTAATATATATTAATATACTTTAAGAAGAGCGGCCATGTGAAATTGTTCTGTGTCATTCTGTTTCCCTCAGATAGCAAGCACCAGCTCGGTGGAGTCAATGCCAGGAGCAGATGGTGGTGGTGCATTTGGAGGGGTAGGTAATTTGAAGCTGATACTTTCAGTAGAGCAAGGCGGAGGGGAGGGGGTTATGATATGCAGCAGGGAAAAAAATCAGAGATACTTCCGTGTATTTGTTTATATCCTGCTGTCTGTTGCTGCAGCTGTGCTTCTTAACTTCTTGGCTAAGCTACACACACAGCTACTTGTAGAGTTTGCACCAGCAGTGAATTTAAATCCTCCTGTTCGGATACACACTGCACGTGTGTGTGAACCCAGTTATGGGGGACCCAGCTGAAGGGAAATGGGTTGTGACATTTGTACTGTTGGCGATTTTCTTGTGGAAGTTTGTTTTTAAATTCTAATAGGGAGCTACACTGAATGCTTGGGGGGAGGAGGGCAGAGAAAGACAAGGAAATCTGGCTGCTTAATACTTTCATATTGTGGAACTCAGGATTTCATCTCCAGAACCAAATTTTGATTAACACTTCTTTCATAGTGTGCTTTTCATGTTTCTGCCAATACAGAGGAGGAGGTGATAGTACTTTCATACATCTCTGGCCTGTAAGTGATTGGCTGCTGCAAAAGCAAAATACACTTTTAAAGATACTTCTCCTATTGCTCTGTACATCTGTGACTGCTGCTGAGTCAGCTGAGTTTACTGAAAAAGCCCTAACAGGAAGAAAAAAGAACAACCAAGAAAAAAAAATCCCTGTTTGCTGAGACATACTGTATTATTATGGATATTATGCATTAGCATGACCTTTTTAATAACAAAGGACCCACTTAGCAGGCTCTTCCTCTGGCCAGGCTTCTAACCTACTAGTAGATTTTAGAGAGTATCAATGAAAAGCTGGTTAAAAAAAAAAAAAAAGCCAGCAACCTGACCTATACAAACAAGAGCTAATTAAAAATAAGTGTTTCGAATGAGTGTATTCCTTGTTGTTTATTGCTTGTTCACATTTCCTATTTTCCCTAAGCAATTTTTCATTTATTTGTAGTCAATTTTGTGATTAGTGCCCCTATTCCTTGAGTTACAGATGCTATAGTTTAAAGAAAAAGGTGCTTTATATACTATTTTAAAACAAACACATAAAAATTTCTGCTGGTATTAACTTAGAAAATTAACTCCATCCTAGTGAAACCGGTTTCTTAGGGAAAAGTAAATTTTAGTTGTAATGAAATAATAAAAAAATAGATCTTTTTAATTGATTATAAATAGTTGCGTCAGTGAATTGCATAGTATATCTTGTCACAGTAAGTAGTTTTCCATAAGCTGTGTATTTAAAGAAAAGCTTTATTCCTGAGGTTGAAATAAAAATGGAGTGGCTCAAAAACACAAAGCTAAAAATATCCAAAATTGTGGGGTTTTTTATTCTGGGATCTCATTCTGCTGTATTGTAGCAAATAGATAACATTACCACGAGCAATGAAGTCTGATGTTAGTTGCAGCTTTAGAAAATACTAATTTTTAATGAAAACATCCCTTTAGAAAGATCTCCATGAGTGCATCAGCAAGTACCTGCTGTGCTGAACAGTTTCCCCATGCAAACCACTTGGTGGTAGTGGTGGTCAGCAAATGAGTATCTCCTTCCTCTGGTTCTCCTGAAGAGTTTGATGGAGTTTTCTTCAGGGGTGCACGTTAGCGTAATCAGACAGTGAAAATCTGCTGCAGGAAGTGTCATCCGCTTGATCTGCAGCATTGTGGTCACTGCTTGCTGCTCTGCACTGCCTGCACAGTTCATTCTCAACCTTATGCCTGCACGAGGAAAGTACGAGCCTGTGGAAGATGGTCCTGCCGGTAACCTCGCATGTATGACATGGGCATGCAGAGAAACAAACGAAACAATTTTGCTGCATTACAAAGTGCAAAATATACAAAATAATTTAAATTACTTTCTCACATAAATTCAGCATTTCCAAGAGCACCTGCTGATGTTCTGCCCTATTGCAGGTGTCTCCAACTATGTAATTTGTAAATGGGAAACATGCAGCTCTATAAGCAGAAGGAGAAGAAAAAGATTGGAAATCCCTTTGTTTCTCATGTGTCTGCCTCTGTGATAGTCTTATCAGCCTGTGTGTGATGTGTATCACTGAGGCTTAATTTCTACCTGCTGGCCCAGACAGAGTGAAATATATAGCAAGTAATAAATAAGAGAACAACAGGCGCTGGAGCCCACTGGTTTTCTTGCTGTTCCTATCAGCTTTTCAGTGTTTCAGAAGCTCATGGAGGCTCCAGTGGTTCACTGGTGATGTGACATCTGCTTTCCTAAGCAGTCCAGCCATGGACCTTCACTTTGCAGTCACATAGCTCTAGTCATGAGCTGTGCCTCTTGGTGGGGTGTACGCTCTTTTTCCACCAAAGTTTTAAAGTTGGAGGAAAATGTCAAGATTTAGAGAGTTAAATGCAGCTGCAGAGTAAAAGCAAATTAGTGGTCAAAACAGCCCTGTCTAAAAGAAGTTACTGTAGTAGTTACTATGGTCCTGGCTCTGAACAGATTTTATGCAAGTGTGTTTTCCTGTCAGACTTGCCAGCTTTAAAACAGAGCAGGGTGCACAAGAAATACAACAATTATTCAAGTGCAGTAGTATCAAGATACTCCAGTTGAAGCTAGGGCAGCTTTGTATTGGCTTCCCTCTTAACATGCCTCAACAGTAAATAATGTAGCTTGTGTAATAAAGGACACAGTTGCAAAGTGACTGCTAAAAGTATTTTTGATGAAGAAGATTTGTGAATTACATTGCATGTCCTTGTTTTCTACACAAATCTCTCTGTTCAGATGGTGTCTAGTTAAGAGGATGGGGCAGGGTCAACTTCCTGAGCTGTCTCTGGGTGGGGTCCAGGGGACTGCCCATGCAGCAAAGTTTCATGATTTTCACAGGGATGGAAAGCAAACGGCTTCTTAATTCTTTCCTGGTGTCAGCAGTTAAATAACATAATATTGAATAAATCTTTCTTCTCTAATTGCTCACTGGAATTTGCCAAGTCATAAAGAAAATACATTTTCATTTTTATTATCTTTTCTACAGCTGCAATAGCAGTGTTTCAAACTCTTGTGTTCTCCCTCTGTTCTCATAATGTTGATAAATATTATGAAGCAGTGCTGGTACTCATCAGACACTTAAAGACCTCTTTATACAGGGCCTTTTTTGATTAGTGAAGTCATTATTAAATGCTTATTGTATGCTACAGTGCAAGTTAAAATACAATGGTCTAAAATAAATATCTAAAATCAGGGCTCATCAAAGCTCATGCATAACTGTCATAACTAATCTTGCCCAGACCCTTTCTGCTTTCTTTCCTTTGTCAAATATATCAGTTGTATATTTCTGAAAGTGGACACTGTCCAGACCATTTCACATTGAGGAGGAAATCAAATACGAGATCCATTCAAGGAAGTATTCAACTTGGGTCTTGTCTGTGTTGCAGAAACATGCATGCGGGTGATGGTGGATACTCCTATTGAAGTACAAATCTAATTAACCAATTTCCCCACAAAGCAGTCCATTCAATTCATCTTAGAGGAACTTCAGCATTTTTCCTATGCAGGCACACGTAGGTATTGATTGAAAACATAACCTGGTTTTGTTTAGCATTCGTCAAGATTATCTTCCAGTCGCAGCTCACAAGGCTAAATGGTGCCTCCATTTATGCTCTTGCCATTCCAGTAACACTAGTGAAATTCTTGTTAACATCAGAATCGAAAGGCTTGTTAAGATATATGTAGATTTAACTATTAAGAAGAGGAAAAAGTAATGTTGACTAATGAGGAAGTGCTCTGGTCTAACAACTAAGGGGAATCCATCCCAGCGGTTTTCTAAAAAATTAAATACCATTGTCATCAAAATCAGAGTGAGAAACGGCTGACTTTTACTCAGACAATGTATGTGATACAAATCAAAAAGTGACTGTAGATTGCTGCTGATCAGTAAAAGCTGTTCGAATCGCCTTAATTATCCGCCTTGCTTGGAGGGGTCTAATAGAGTCTGAAAGGAACGGTTTGCCAGTGATTCATCTGAGTGAGGCATTGTTCAGTTGCTGTAATTCCATGTTGTGCTGATTACATCTGGTTCTTCCCAAGCCAAGTGAAATGCTGCACTCTGCTTGTGTGTGGGGGAGGCCTTGGATTTGCGGGCGTTCTGTTTTGCTGAGTGATTAATATGTGTGAATATAGGGGTACAGGGATTTTCCTGACTGAACAAACCCGTGTGACTGCGCTTCACCAAGCTGAATTGCCAGACATCCTGTGTACTTGTACACAAGTTTGAAACATCGCTGTTGCAGCTATAGAAAAGATAATAAAAATGAAAAGATTCAGTCCAGTTAGAAGTGATTAGCTGTGGTTTTGTTGTGTAATGCTGTTACAAGGCAGGGTGGTTTCAGTAGCTCTGCTGAAGGACAATGTGCTCTCCTCTGTAAGCAAGGAATGGCAGGGCAGAGACTCAAGGAAGCTGACAGATGGGAGAGTGAGGTCAACTTATCAAATTTTACTTTTTTTTTTTTTTTTCCTTCAATTGGCCTGAAAACCTGTATTAGTGACTTCTTCAGATTAGTGATAACCACTAAGGTGAGACCTTGGGGCAAATGGCAGAAATTCTCCTGCACTGGTGACATCTGCCTGGTGATCCATGGGCAGCCTCTGCTAATTGTAATTGCTGCTACTCTTCCTCCCACCTCCTTGCCTGCATCCTTGTGTTAAGTAAGGGCTTTGAAGAAGGGGAAATTTGTTGAGCCAATTTTTGTCTCTCAAGGCAACTTAAGTTGTGACTTAGTATTCACATAGTTTAAAGGGAAGGTGGGGTTGTCGAGTCCAGAATCTGTGTAACCTACAATGGGCTTGATCTTCAGAAAAAAATCACAGAATCACAGAATTGTAGTGGCTGGGAAAAAACTTTTAGACCAACCATAAAACCAGCACTGCCAATTTCCCCTCCAAAACATGTCCCTGAGCACCTCGTCTACCTGTCTGTTAAATCCCACCAGGGAAGGTGACTCCACCACCTCCCTGGGCAGCCTGTTCCAATGCTTGACTGCCCTTTGGGTGAAGAAGTTTTTCCTCAGATCCAATCTAAACCTCCCCTGGTGCAACTTGAGGCCATTTCCTCTCATTCTATCACTTGTTACCTGGGAGAAGAGACCCACCCCAGCTCTCTCCACCCTCCTTTCAGGGAGTTGTAGAACGAGGAGGTCTCCCCTCAACCTCCTTTTCTCTAGGCTCAACAACCCCTGCTCCCTCAGACGCTCCTTGAAGGAGTTGTTCTCCAGGTCCTTCACCAGCTTCGTATGTAACATACCTTTGCTATTTTGATTTAGAGGAGATGTTTCTTCTCCCAGTACTGTTAAATGTTTGTGTCAAGCAAATGAAAGTGAAGAGAGTTACCAGATCTCTTCTCATGAAAGAACTGTGCTGGAGGAACATGATGCAGCTACCTCCTTTGCATTGGAATCTCCATGAGATGCTGCCTGGCTGGAAGTGCCCCAGGCTTACCCCTTGCACGTAGCCATCCTGACTGGGAAGGAGGAATAGTATTTGTTCTTTAAAAAAGAGAACAAAACCAGAGGTCTACTTGAAGATCTGTGTGAAGCTGTATTTTTATGAACTGTGCATTGTCATGCTCTTCACTTTATCAGAAAACTGTACAATTGGGTTAGCTATACCGGGTGACTCTATGTACCTGCTTGGCTGCTTAGCTTAGGAGGCTAAAATTCCTTGACTATCTAGACAGCTGTTAGAGTCTTCTGCCAGGAGCACTTGATAGCAGGTCCCTTGCATAGTTGTCCCTGTCTTCCTGAGGAGCTTTATTTCATCATGGTCAAGGAGGGAGCCCAAGGAAACTCCTAAATTAAGTATTTGAAGTTGAGCGGTGCAAAAATCCACTGCCAGCACTGTTCACTTCTTCAGTCCAACCATTTTTCCCAAAACCTTCTCATCTCCTCGCCATGAACAGAAGAGTTTACAATGCACTCACAAAGTCAACAACATTTCCCTGAACCAAGTCAGGTTGCAGCAAGGAGGAAGAGGTGCGGGCCAGAAAGAAAGCTCTTCTTGACAAGACCACATTGCCAGTTCCTCTTCCTCCTTACCAACAGATGGTGAGGTGAGGTTGCTGAGTGGCTGTAAGGGCACAAGTGGACAGAGAGGGACTCGAAGGCTCGAGCAATCTGAGATCACATAATGCCACACCAGAAACGCCGATGGCTGAGCCAGCCATCCAGCCACAGGCCATTAGCAGAGTTGACCTCAATTCCTTTCTGGAATGGCATGAAAAGAGGATCCTCCAAAGAGGATCTTTGTCAGTGGGAGAATTCTATGAATTGTTTTGGGATTTATTTTTTTTTTTTAATAATTTTGAAAAATATCACGTAATTGTACTTTTCATTTCAGAGTGATTCCTGTAGGAAATCTTCCAAATCCAAAAGAGACAAGGAGAAACAATCTTGCAAGAGCTGCAGCGAGAGCTTTAACTCCATCACTAAAAGGCGGCACCACTGTAAGCAGTGTGGGGCAGTAAGTATCAGAATACACTGAGCTTTTCAGTTTCTTCTGCAGAGACTGTTGAAGAGAATTTTTTATTTTTCAGTGCAGGAACTAAAAGATATTCTGGTTCATGGCAGGTCATTGACAGAGCAGATCTTTCCACTTGCCTTGGGTAACTAGCCTTGAATATCCAGGACTGATTTTTTTTGACTTTTCAAGCAGGAGGAAACCGCTTTGGCACAAGCAATTCTTGACAACTCTTCCTTAGGGAAAGAAGAGCTCATCCATCTTTAATATTGTATGTTCAGCTTTTCATCCTAGAAAGAGCTGCTGTGTGAAGTAAGGTTGTCAGAAGGCCACTCTGCTTCTACAAAGTACAGGGGACAAAGCACTCCCCCAATACAGGCACATCCCCAGAAAAGGCACCACCTTTCTTTTTGTCCTCTGAGGTGCTGGATTGGCCTTTCAAACAGCACAAACTAGGCTCCTTGTACCAGAGTTTTGCACTTTGTTCCCCTGATTCACAGGGTAAGGCAAGTGGAATTAATAAAGAAACTAAATAATAGCTTTCCCTCACTGGCAGAGAGATACCAAGAATTACATCATTAATAATTTATTGTTAAACGGTTGTTTGTTATGCAGTGTTTTGCCATGTGGCAATAGCATTGAAATTAAAGTTAATTCATGTCAAGGAAAGACTATCATGTTTCTTAAAATGCTAGCTTGCTTTTGTTTATATGGCTTAGAACGGTGCTTCACTTAACACTTGCTGAATTAAGGCAGTTACTGTCATATAGTAATTAACATCTTGCAGTGAAATGTGTAACATACGCTGGTACCTGAAGGGTGTTTGTGGTGTGTTATTGTGTGGTAAATTCAGACTGGATTTTGAGTCCAGCTGACTGTCCCTGCCTTGCACCATGGGGTCAGGTTCTCTTCCTGGAGCAGATGTGCAACAGCAAGCAATAGAGTGTGATGTTAAGAGTGGAAACAGGTTCCAGAGCTGCAGATCCATCACTTTTCACAAGTGCTGGTTTCCTGGGACTGATGTGTCATTGCATGCTCTCAGCAGCTGAGGAAAGGAATCAAAAGTTGTTAATTTGGCATCAGACAACATATTGGACTATGTTCTTAAAACAGTCAGTGAGTTTTGGATTCCTCTGTTCTATCAAGCCAAGCCGAACTGCTTAATTGATGAGGAAGCATCAGCCACCTTTACCCTGTAAATCAGCCCTTCCTGGTCCGTTTTACAATTGGCATTAAAAAGCACTAATTGCTCTGTCAGCCTAAGTCAAAAAGACTCATAAGGACTTATAAGAAAAGAAAAGCAAATTTGCATGATGTTAATCATAAAGGATTTCCCAAAAGGCGTATGTTTTCTTTCATTAGGTATATTGGTAAACAGCATGGGATCTCAAAAACATTAATTATTAATGGAGGTAAATAAAGTAAATATGATATTGGTCGCTCTATCTTACACTTGCATTAGTTTTCCAGATTTTACTTTAGTAACAACCATTCTGCAAGTCACTTTCTTTGGAGAAGGGTTATGTTTTCATGATGGCTAATAAAGGACCGTCTTTCTGATACAGGTGATCTGTGCAAAATGCTCTGAGTTTAAACCACTTGCAGATAACAGCCGTCATAATCGGGTGTGTAAAGAGTGTTTCCTGCAGTTTCCAGCAAGCCCGTGCGGCCCTGGAGTGGAAGCAGTCGGAGAACAAAAGAAAAGACTAGCTGCAGAGGTATGGTATTTAGCTAAGAAACTTTTGATGTGCTAGCTGCCCTTATGAGACTCTTTTTCTTCTTTTTTTAAAAAATATTTATTTAAAACAAATACAATTGTTTAGTTATCTTTTTTTCCCCTGCCATGATAGTTGACCCTCTGGCCTATAACTTGTATTGAACATGCATGCAGCCGGAATGCTGTTGGTAAATGGCAAGCATTCATGATAGGATGCTGATCATACAGGGATGCACACAGGTTTTGCAGCTAAGCTTCAGCTTTCAAAGTAACAAAAAATGAGAAAAAACTTCTGACCTCTTTTTATGATGGTGCATTTCCAGTCTTGAGTTGTGCACAGTAACTATTGGCAAAACCTGCCAAAATGAGATGTGTTTTTTCACTTTTAACACCATATGGAAGGTACTTTTGCACTCCTTATTTCACATCCTGTCAAAATGCCATCAAAATGAATTTTTTTTTAGTTGACTGTGAAAAAGCGTGGCATCCTTCTGAAAGACTATCAGGATTCACTGAAGCTTTCTCAAACCTGCTGTGATGCAGTCTCTTTTCTTGAAGATGTGACTTCCACAAATTTTATTGTTTAAACTACTACTTCACAATTGCCACAGATGTCACTACGCTTTATACCATGACAGTGGCACATCCTGCCCTTATTTTTTAGAACAAGAAGCATGTTGGCAAACTGATTTGTTTTATCCTCATGTGCAACAACTGAACCTTCTCTTACCAATGCTCTTTTTAGACTCCAGGCAGAGCTGTGAGTACCATTACGTGCCACGCTTTTCATGGGCCATCTTGAAGAAAAGATTGTTATTTATTTTACCTGTGAAATATAGCCAGAAGTCACTGCATGCGTAAAAGAGGATATTTATCTCAATTAAAAGTCAACCCACAGGGACATCACATTCTTGAAAGAGCCACTGACACACTGAGAGCTTACCTTCATTGCAAATCATCCTTCCCCCTGTTATGCTGATCTACACCATCCTGCTTTGAGCACTGCATGGAAAATCGGGGAGCAGTTGCAGCCTATACTGAAAAACATCTTGCCTTGAAAAACATCTTTCTGGAAGCCACCCCTCAGAGCCCTCACACTGGCTTCCTGCCTTGTTCTGCTCATCAGAACCAAACTGTGTGGAAAAGAGCCGGACTCTGAGCAAGAAATGTAAACCTACCAGTGCATATCCAGAGCTCCTGCAATAAATGCTTCCTCAAATTCCCCAGCTGCTTAGACGCTGCCCCGCTCTGCTTCCCAGGATGTCATATTTCTTTCCAGGCTACTAAATGTACCTACACAGGTAAAATTACACCAGCACCATGTCCCAGATTGAACTCTGCTTCTCAGGTGTTTTGTCAGCTTTGCACCCAAACACAGAACTACAAAGTGGGGTAAAGCTCCAACCGCACGTTGCCCTTCCCTGAGCTGCCGTGTCTGCAGAGCACCGAAAAGAGCTTGATGCCGTCAAAAATTACCGTTGATACACACTACAGACAGCTATGCCTGGAGATGATGAGCACTTAATATGCATCAGTATAGCGTGTGTTATCTCATGATAAACTTTCTAGCACTGTTTTAGCAGAGCTGTTTGCTGGGAAAGTGAAAACCTACACCTACCCAGCCAGGAGCTCTGCTAATCTGAAAAGCCAAGAAGCAAACCAGTGAAATGTGACCTATGGCTTTACTGAAGAAAGAAGATTACAGCAGAAAGCTGTAAAAACCCAAGGAAAAGAGTTGTTTTTCCCTCACATGGTCAGGCTTCTAGCCTTCTGCTAAATCTTCAAAGGTCAGGTAAAATGCAAGAAAGTAGGTGTATAAAAAAGAAAGATCAGAGCTGGTCTTTTTCTTTCCCTCCTATTTCCATTAAACTTTCTTAGCCAGCTTCATAGCAACTGAGGAGATTGTCACTTTACAGATGTTATTAGCAGATGCCAGAAATCCCCAGGAGACTTCTGTGCAAGGTCTAACGTGAACAGGAATTTTGTTTTTCTTTGCATTCTATCAGAAGACAAAAAATTCTTTCAATCTTTTTTTGCCCTAGTGCTCTCTGATTTGGCTCACATCTCTCTGCATCCGTGGACAAGAGTGTCTGTTAATACACCTTTTGCATTAATTGGAAATCATCTCCCAGCCTGCTTTGCTAAGCAGGAAACTACCTGCATCATCTTAATTACCATTCTCAATTTACCTGGTGGAAGTGGAATTTAACTTCATGTCTGCTGGATCAGTAATTCAGCATCTGCCTCTATTAAATGGAATTGTGTGATTTCTTGATGGTATATAATAACAGCTAAACTTTTGTTCAGTTATAGACTATCCAGCATTTGCCCTACAGTATTATTTTCTCTGGGCAACTTAAGTATATTTTGTACTTAAGTCTAAGTATTTTGCCTACATAAGCATCAATGGAGACAACTCTTTTTTTTTCTTTTGTTTTTTTTTTTCTTCATCCAGAAGCAAAGCATCTTAGCAGCTGAAAACAGCCTCTTCAGCAGCCACCTCCAGTTCCTGGAAAAAGGGAAGACTTGGTACAAAATGTGGGTGACCATCCCCAAGACTGAACCTCTTGTTCTGTATCTGCAAGGAAGTAACCAGGTAAAATGACATTTGTGAGGGTTAGCACACAGCAAAAATAATTTTAAAAAAAACATAAGCTTAAATATGTCAAGCTGAGAAATAGGTCAAAGGATTTGGCTTGGTTTCAACAACAAAAATTAACTTGGTATTCTGAATATAGCACAAAGCCTCAGAGATTTCACATTTCCTTGTTATCTGTAGTTACTGCTGATACAGTTGTGAGCAAATGTTTAAGCTCATAGCTTTTCTTTTCCATTTTAACAAAGAAAGGACAAAACATGGATAATTTGATTATGTTTTGGGTTTTTTTAGAGGATTTAGACAAGTGTATTTAGAGGTTTTATTACCCTGTCATTAGGGAAAGCACTTTCCTGTAAAATTTATAGAGCTACGAAGCAGTCTGAATATTGCAAATGCTGGTTCAAGCTTTTCTTTTTTTCTAAACCTAGTTCTGGGTTGAGAGGGTGGAGGAATTTGTGGAAATGTAGATGTTCTTCAGCCTGAAAAATAGACTGTATTTGGTAAAGCTCCTTGTCATAGCTTCATGTGATTTTATCTTTACTTGAAATAATGACTGTGGTAAGCTGCTTTTTTTTTTAAGTGTGCTGTTGAAGCTAACTAGCATTTGTGTGTGATGAAAGGATGAAAGTCAAGTGACAGAAATACCTATATCCAAGATAGAATATCCAAAATAGACCTATCAGTCATGCTTCCTTAGTGCTGGAGATAAAGAATGACAATGCTGAGATGAGATCCCCCATATCCAATTTTGTGGTTGGCACTTGACACGTTTATTTACAGCTTTGTTTTATCTCCTGGGTTGGATGGAAGAAGAAATGGGTCTGAATTCAGGTTACCATTACCCTGCTGTAATTCTAGTCATATGGAGGGTTTGCTTTTTATTAGCATCAGTTTGTACGACTGCAGCTAGGAACAGTCTGGGAACTAAATATTACCCATAATTTTATAAAGCTATTCAAAGTAAAGCTTATTCTCTAGCAAATGTTCAACAAGAAGAACACGTTGTCCTTAGAGTGTGTTTGTTTTGCTGCTTGTCAGCAAGAACACCTCTGGTTTAAAACAAGTGTGTGTAATGTTTTAAGCATAGCACTCAAGAGGCTGAAAGCTTGAATCTGGAGCTCCAGAAACAGCCCACTTGGCTTCATCTGAGATTCAGACCCCACACTGGGTAAACTTCCAGTTCATGCCACGGGCAGTGAGCTGCCTGGCTTCCCTTCGAGCCAACAGCAGATGCACGACTGAAATGATGAGATGAAAAAGCCAGCGGCCGCAGACAAAGTGCTAAAACTAATGTAACAAAACCAATCTTTAGATCTCACTGGAGTCAGAGTCTGGGGAAAGGAAAAAAGCTTTGAAAAGCAAAGCAGAGAGAATGGCTTCGCTGTGAAACTTTTGAACTGGTGAGAAGCTGTGCCTCAGCAAAGGACCAGTGCAAGCCCCGTATCCCATACAAACCAAGCTAGAGCATCACTCAGGCAAGCTTGGGAAGGAGAGTGGGAATAGAAGGAGAGAGGTCTAAATTCTTTGGCCTTCCTCACCCAGAAGCAACGTGTGTCATCTAAGAGATGACTGGAATGAGGAATTGAGAGGAAGCAACACCTCTGACATGGTGTGACCTAGAAAGATAATTTCTCCTGATGCCCAACTGATTGTCTCGGGACAGCACAAGTAGCAACCCACAGGACAGAAACCAGCTGTATTTAGTGCGCAGCAGAATGATGCTCGATTCTCCAGGCCCCTCCTGACAGTCATCCAAAGCCAGGGTTGGAAGCTGGAGAAGCTTCTGTGCTTCAGATGCTATGTTCCTTGCTCCATGTCCTGACAAATTTGATCTTGAGCCTCTGTTGATATTATGAGTAAGATCCTATTTTTTAGGAGAAAATGGTGCCTTTGACACTGATTGCTGATTTGATGACAGTTAAATTTAGCTGTTAGTGTCCTCAACTATTTCAGGTGTGTGATAAATCTCCCAATAAAGTGGCAAGAAAGCACACAGGACAAGGTTGATCTGTCTTACATTCAATAACCAAGCCAGGATTTACTATCAGGAATCACCACTTGCAAGCTGTGACTAGAAACAACAAAAATGAGTCCCTTCTTTAAGGGCCTGCCAATCCCACTTGTATGGTTTCTTTGATTTGCATCCAACTGAAGGAAAAAAGTATGAAGCAAATCCCATTCTTTGATGTTAACCCAAAATTTTTGTTAGTTCTGGTTTACATAGTATACACTATACATAGACTTCTGAGAAAAATCTCTTCCAGAGCTTCTCTCCTGGTGGCTGACTGTCTGGAATCAGTCAGGAACCACTTACACACTCAAATGTTATATTCCCAGGCGTTTTGTTTTATACAACCATCCCGATCATCTCACCATTAAGGGAGTATCCACTCAAGCACACA